AACTCATTTTTATATCACTTCTGCCATGACCGCCCCCACCCCCCATTTCCTACAGACTGACATGGAGTCAATGGATGCAGCCCTAGAACAGATTGACTTTTATTAGTAGATGTTTAGGATTGTGAATCCAAAAAAGATGACAAAGCCAGCAGGGAAAAACACATTGCCTGAGTGAGGGACGGGGGTGAGGAGGGGAACACAACTAGGTTACAAGAGATACACTGCTTCCTGGCCTGCTCTGCCATTAACCCTAATCGCTCAGCAGATCCCCTGATGACTTATCGTGGAAGTGTGAAAACCACTGCATGGAAGCCCACACACACCAGATTTCAGCTGTCAAGTCCAGCACCTCTAAGGAACACCAAAAAACCCCAAAAGGAAAGCTTACAACACCAAATTTTCATGACTGCTGTAGGGTAACAGAGACCAAGAACCCCTCTTTGACTAAACAGAAAAGCTACTAGAAATTCCAGCATTTCTAAATGACACTTAAGAAAACTATGGAAACATTAGCCTTGCCCCATTTATTTGCAGCTTGCAATCAGCTATACTTTCTTCACTCGTCACTTCACTAGGCACAGCACATACTGGCAGTGGCCCAACAAAAGCAATGCCTGAGGAAATCAATTAGACAAGTTGCTGACAAATGTTGAATCAAAAGCAACTCAGATCTAGCCATCACTAGGGCAGGCTGAAAGACCCATCTCTGCCATAGCTTTACTTCCCATAGTAACAACTTATGGATGTCTACTTTAGAAGGCTGGGGAAGGATTCTAGGCACAATGCTCAGGTCTCCCATCTGGAAAACGATACAAAGCCCTCAAACTAGGGTGGCCACAGATAGAATTGCCTGGCAGGTTTGGTCTTAACAATTACCAATTCCTCCTCAAAAGAATGTATACTAGCAAAGGAACAATCATCAGCACTGTCTTAACTTTGCAAAATAATGCACAGAAGTTAGATCAATCCTGTTTTAACACAGAAACAGTTATGAGTTCACTACATGCTTTTCTATCACTCAGAAATGATTACTTTCACTTGATGTTCCAGATCAGGCAAATTCTTCAGTACCTACCACCACCTTGTGGCTGAAAGCTGAAAATATCAGGAGTCAGATTTGTATTTTTATTAGAACGCAAAGGTGGTGTCTGGATTACTAATCATCATACCCATTCTGAATAAACTCTCTTGACACCCCCTGTTGGTACACAATGAAGAGGGCTGCATAAAAACCATCCACATAAAGCCTCTGGATCTAAACAATAATCTCCACCTGGAACAGAGAATATTCTACTACAGCAGCTGCTACATATTTCCAATCAATGGGCTACCTCAGAATCAGCATTTTTGAGTGACCTGCTTAAAAATGCCTAGGTGTAGAAGTAGAGCGCTTCGAGGGAGGAAGCAACTCTCCCAGAACATTCATACACGCTGTCAGGCTTCCCCTCAAATTGCTCTCTTTGTAAAGGAGAGGAAAAAGCTGACAGGATGGAAGAATGGCTCAACACTCTCTGTTGACATGTCAGCAGGCAGCTTTCAAGGAAAACATACTTCAGTTCTGAAACTGAGAAATGGTTTTAAAACTGTTCTTCCCTATTTCTTTCCAAAGTGAGTCTCCAAGAACCACACTTTATGGTATCTACAGTTAAAGCAGGACAGCTTACTCTTACAGCCCTGTGTCTTGGAAACCTCCTGAAAACAGCACTTACAGTGTAACATAGACGTGTAACATGAGTAGTAAGGAAGAGATTACAAAACAAAAACAAATACAGAAAAAAAATTCAATATAAAATAGCAGTTTTGTATGCAAGGTTAACATGACCTTACATAGCTGGGACTATCCTACAAGATAACTAGGCTGAGCAATACTGGAAAGCAGCAATACTATAAAATGTCAAGTAAATAATTAGCTTGCTCTGAGTCAGGGATGTAGTTTACCAGAGTAACACTAAATCATCCAGTAGTAAGCTTTCATAATTACTTTGTGCCATGGCTATAAAGGGTTACATTTTCTGCACATACAGAATGCTCTTCAGCCCCAGGTTGCAAGTATTTCTCCAACAAGAAAGACTCACCAAAAGTAGTGCCATCTTCACCCATAATACACTTCATGGAGGTGATGATTTGCTCCACAACAGGTGGCGACAATGATGTAGCATACACTGCGCTATGAGAATATGTGCGGAGATAATCAATCAGCTCCTGACAAAATACAAGAGAGTCATATCATCAACCTAGAATCAGAGCTTTAAAGAAGCAGGCTTCAGTGACAACCACTCTCAAAGTGATTACAAAATGTCTCTCATACAGATGCACACCATTCAAGAGCTAAATAGAATGGATTGGGCTGTTCAAACAAGTACTTAAGACATTCAGTTACTACCATTAAATACAATTAAACTATTGACAACAGGGGTAAGCCATTCCTGTGTGTTCTACTCTGTTGCTGGGCAAGGTGAGTATTGATTCGAGTCGAACCTTTAATTCAAACTGACTCACTCAGCTGTGAGTCACAGCACTAGACTGAGACAAACTGCCTTGTGTACAGCTGAAATAATTTCAGACATGTTTCAAGAAATTATTGCAATGTTGGAGAGGTACAAAAGAAGCAAGGCCTGTAAGTGCCTATACTGACTTTGCTGGGGGACAGGGAAATTCCAAGCACAGCACATCTGGGGACAGACACACAGGAAAGCTCCCATGTGGAGGACACTAAGATAACTGGTTTTGAAAATGCTAGGAGAACGGTTCTCCCACAGCATCCCAGGAAATGGAGGGTGTCAGCTGGAGGCCTCAGCTGCCTGTACACCAGTGCCACGAGCATGGGGAACAAGCAGGAGCTAGCCAGCCTTCCTGCTCTCTAGTGGGCAATATGACCTGGTATGGATCACAGAGACCTGGTGGGACTCCTCACATGACTGGAGTGCAGTCATAGAGGGCTAACACCCTGCTCAGAAGGGAATGAGCAGGAAAAAAAGGCAGAGGGGGAGCTCTCTATGTGAGGGAGCAGTACACCTCTCTGGAGGCTGACGTTGGCTGCAAAGAGAAGCAGCTTGAAACCCTCTGGGTCAAGGCTGTGGGGGGCAGTGTCAGGGGAGACCTAACTGTGGATATTTATTACAGGCCACCAAACCAAGGGGAGGAGCTTGATCTGGAGTTCTCTCAAGAACTGACAGAAGCTGTGTGTGCAAGGGACTTGGTTGTCGCGAGCAACTTCAATTACTTGGACAGAGATTGGCTCAGCTAGGTCAGATTGGCCATGCATCTTCTTAACTATAAAAAAAATAATCAAATCAAGGAGCTCTCTCTCTCAGCCAAGCAGTGCAAGGACCAACCAGAGATACCGCTCTCCTAGACTTGGTCTTGGAGAAACGAGATGAGCCTGTGTGTGGCTAGAACATTGAGGGTAGCCTGGGAGACAGGTTCATTGTCTGCCACAAGGCTGACAAGTCAACTAGCAGGACTAAAGTCTTGAACTTGAAAAATGCTGACTTCAACAGGCTCAGGGCATTAGTAGTGAAGGCGATGCAGGACCAGGGATGGAAGGCGAAGGGGGTGCACGAAGAACAGTTATTCCTCAAGGACACAATCCTCGAAGCACAGAAGAAAACTATTCCCATGAAGAGGAAAGGTAGCAGGAGGGCTGCCAAGCCCTCCTGGCTCAACAGGGACATTGCAGTCCTCTTGAAAAAGAAAGAGAGACATACACACAGTGGAAGCTAGGGACAGTCCTCAAGGAGGACTATACAACAGTGGTCTGCACTTGTAGGGAAATGATTAGGAAAGCTAAGGCAGTGACTGAGTTTAAGTTAGCCAAAGGAGTCAAGGACAATAGAAAGTCCTTCTTTAGGTATGTAGGGAGCAGAAGGAAAACAAATGGAAGCATGGAGCCCCTGCTTTGCACCTCAGGACAGCTGGTAATGGACACTCAGGAAAAAAAAAAAATGAACTCCTGGATGCCCACTTTGCTTCAGTATTTCACCAGACCAAGAGGAAACACAAGCAAGATAAGGATCACAGGGGGTATGGTGGGAATGATAGCCTTCCCACTGTGGATGCTGAGCTGGTGCAAAACCAATTAGAAGAACTACACATTTAAGACAGCAGGACCAGATGGACCTAGGAGTGCTGATGAAGCCGGCTGAGATCACTGCAGAACCCCTGGCAAAACTCTTTCAGAAATCATGGCACACAGGGGAGATCCCTAATGATTGGAAGAGGGCCAACAATGTGCCCATCTTCAAGAAGGGAAATGGGAGGACCCAGGCAACTATAGGCCAAATCAGCTTAACCTCCGTACCAAGGAAAATCCTAGAAAATCTATTTAAAATAATTTATATGCAATATGCTTGTTGAGGGTAAGATTCTGAACAACAGCCAGCATGGCTTTGTCAAGGGTAAGTCTTGTCTTGCCAATCTCATCTCCTCCTACGAACAGGTCACTCACCACCTGGACACAGGAGAGAAGGTCGACATTATATACCTAGACTTCCAAAAGGCTTTTGATCTAGTATCCCTGCTGCCTCTGCAGCTCAGGGCTCAGCTCTTAGAGGACAGCTGGGCCCTGCTCCCAATCAGGCAACTCTGCTTAATTGGCACTGGAGGCAGCTGCTAGTAACAGAGCACCCCACGCTCCGTTACAATCCCCTGCTCGTGTTTCAGTGCAGCATAAATAATGGCCGCAGGTATAAATTTAAAGATTCTGAAAGTCCCTTTCAACCTCGCTCTTGTGTACTTGCCACTTCAGTGCACCTACTACTTTAGCTAGGAAATGAAGCGAGGTCACATGGGAGATGAGTGCATCAGATCCAAAATGAAGTTACTCATCATTAAAACATTCTTCTAAACCAGGGGTGTCCAACCTTTTTGAACGTAGGGCCAGATCACAAACCTTTTATCACCCAGTGGGCTGGCGAGCCATATTCAAAGGAATACAGGAAGTGGTATCACATCAGTAAGTGATGTCATGTGACCTTTGACACCAATGAAGCTGCAGGAAGTGACAATGAAATGGCTCTGGAAATGTGGTTTAAAATCCAAAATAAAAACAATATAAAAGCAAGAATGACTTAAATAAACACTTTCGCTTCTACTCACTTCTCAATGAATGAAAGAAGCATAATGCAAGTCGACAGATCAAATGTGGAAAAGGTATCAGCCAGAGTGGAAACTAATCAAAGCAACAAAATATGGGCATTTTTTAGAATAATCTTCAAGAAGATTTACTTTTATTGAATTAATAACTAGTTATGACTAAAGGTTACATAATAAAACCCTAGTTTTAAATGTTGACCATAATTTAAATAGCAACATCAGAAGGGCTTGTCAGCATCATCCAGTCTCAAAATAAATTGCCCTTTTCTACACAGAGATTGATGGCAACATGAACCTTGACCGCTAGGGAAGCCCATCCAAAGATATGTGCTTCTTTCATACCTCCCTACTCATTCCTACAGGTGTTCCCAACACCCCCTCTTCGCCCCCCCCACACGCTCCCTATACCCTTCCCTACATTCATCCCTATACCCACTCCCAGCCCCCCCATCACTATGAATCCCCCCACACACGTACTCCTTGTTGACCTTTTCACGCCAATGCTGCCCTCACATATGGACCCCTGCACCCACACCCAACACAAATACAGGCAGCACTTGCCCACCAAAGTGTCAAGGGACCTGCATGCAATCTCTCACCCTCATAAGATTCCAGTGATTCAATTGCTGGTAGCCTGCTTTTGAGCAAAGCGCATCTAGTGTAGGCCTCACGGTGTACCAGACCAGCAGCTCCCACTTTTAATAAGGGCTGGGGCATTAGGATCCCCATTTGTGGCTGGATGTAGAATGCCTCTGGGTCAGGCTCCTCCTGCCTCCCGCCCAGCCTGGCTCCAGCAACCATGCACCCCACATCCCCGGCCTGGCCCTGAGGTGCCCCCAGCTCCGTGCAGGAACTTACCTGTGCCTCCGTCCACCATGCATGCGGGCAGGGCGTGGGCCATGCTGCAGCTCCCCCAGCCACGTGCTGGGGGCAAGGGGCAGAGCCAGAGAAGTAGTCGAGGCACTGTCCCCAGCTTGTTCAATCAGGCGCAGCTGGGGCAACTCCGCGCCGCGCAGCCCTTGGGGCAGCGGCGGCAGGACCTGGCTCACATGATAAGCCCGGCCCCGCAGGGGTAAGCAGCTCCCCTCCCCTTGCTGCTGGCTGGGGCCCGCAGGCCGGCCCTGCCCACCTCGCCACTGCTGTGGAGCATGGAGCAGGTGCCACAGATAAAATGGCTTGGCAGACCGTATGGCGGCCCACGAGCTGTATGTTGGGCAAGCCTGTTATAAACAGTTTCCCCTAAAGATCACTGCAGTAAACATGCCTGCAGAAGCAGGCACATATTCTACCCTCCACAACCATAAAATAAAAACAGGACTACACAGATGAAACCAACAGAAGAATTTCCTCCCAGCATGTGAGAAGCTGGCAAAGTTTATTTTTTATGCCCTTTGATGAGGGCTGAGAAAAAGAAACTTATTTATTTGTTGGAAGTGCACTCCTACCTAGTAGAAATGGAATTTGAGTGGTCTGAGAGAGGTCATCCAGGGTATGTTGGTTAAGAGCTGACAGGCTAGAAAGAATTGCACAGAAAGAGGGAATAAGGAGCTAGCCATCCTGGCAACAAGCCAGAGAGCGCAATAGGGCCATGTGTGGATGAACTGGTTGCAGATGGCATACAACTAAAGTTGTGATTTAACAGTGACCAAGTAGTGGAATTCCAGTCCAGGAGACAAATGCCTCACATCTGGAAGAATGCACTCAATAAAATCCAAAGAAGAGACAGTGTTGTAGCTGTTCATGCCCTACAGGTTCCTTGGGAATCTACAGCAAGATTTCCCCCATAGAAAATAATGTCCTTGGAAGGTCCAAAGAGCAAATGGAGGAAGGGCCTTGGCAAAAAGAAAAATCCTGATAGAACAGGACGAGAGAAAAGCAGTTGACATCATATACCTCAACTTCCAGAAAGCCTTTGACCTGGTATCCCATGAGATACTGATCAGAAAACTGGAAGATATCAGGCTCAACTGCAGGACCATCAAATGGGTGCAAAACTGGTTGTGGGGTAGGATGCAGAGAGTCCAAATGAATGGATCGATGTAGTCCTGGTGAGATGTGGGCAGCGGCGTACTCCAGGGGTCAGTACTTGGCACAGTGCTGTTCAATATCTTTACCAACAACCTGGATGAGGGGGTGAAGAGCCCACTAGCCAAGTTTGCAGGTGACACCAAGATATGGGGTTGTATGGACACACCAGCAGATAGGCTGCACCCTAGAGCTGGTGGAATCATCTACCCTAGAGGTTTTCAAGAGAAAACTGGACAATCACCTGGCTGGGGTCACCTGACCCCAGATGTCTTTCTTGCTCATGCAGGGGGCTGAACTCAGTGATCCTTTGGGGTCCCTTCCAGCCCTATGATTCTATGAACAGATAGAACAGAATACTTTCTAGGCCTCTTCAGAGTTTAATTAGAACTAGAATCCTCTGGTGGAAAACAATGGAAATCCATAAGCTTCAAAGGAAATATTTGAGAAATTAAAAATTAGGGGCACATCTCCTGGACTTAGCACTTCCACCTCCCACCAACTTTCATCTCACCGAAAGGTGCATAAATTGGGAACCAAGTACTAACCAGAAGAACTCAAAAACAGGTCAACTGTGAATGTTTTTATCAAGGTCTCCTGTTACAGAGCGTGGCAAGATCTCAGCTAAAAGCTACCTAAACAAGTTCCCACTTCCCATAGCAGTCAGGTCATCCACGTTCACGAACACAAAGGAACAACTCAGTTCCTACCACAAACTCATACTTACCTTCTTGCCTCCAATGTAACCTCCAGCAGCTCCAAAGCTCTTGGTGAATGTTCCCATCATAATATCCACATCTTCAGGATTAAGTCCAAAGTATTCCACCACACCTCGTCCAGTGGGACCCAGAGCACCTATACTGTGAGCCTCATCCAGATACAAATATGACTTGTACTTCTTCTTAAGAGCAATAACTTCAGGCAGGCGGACTATGGATCCTTCCATACTGTTGAAAAAGCAGACAGCAAGTCAAGTTCAATTCAGCTGTAAATGGATTTAGTAGTTGGGGCCCCTTTTGAAGATTGTAAAATGGCTTCTTAATTTTCTTCTCTTCTCCTTCTTTGAACAGCTATCAGAATATCATTTAAACTCTCCCAGAAGACCACAATGTCTCTATGAAATATTTTCTGGCTGAAAGACTGGATTTGCATTTGCACTCAGTATTTATAATCTCCTTGACAGTAGGTCACCAATGGACAAGGCAATTAATTCAAGCAGACTCAAAAGGAGTAGGGATGGCAGAATATCACAATGCAAGGGAAAATATACAGCAATGTTTACACACAGAGGATACACTGCTCCTTCACATCACCCTCGTAAACAAGGGTTTTATGTTGTCATCTGCCAAGTTGACATTTTTGGTTCCCCTCATAAGTGCTGACCAGGCATGGTCAGGGTCTTCACCAAGAGAACAAAACCACTTAATTCTTGTGCTGGAAGTCATCATGAGCCAAGGGCCAAGACAAGTCATCCAGAAACTCCCAACTCCCTTAGGCAAACTTTGTGTGTTGCCATCTAATCCCATTAGCCCATTAACAGAGAATCTCCAGAAAGGAATGGAGAGGGTTCAAAACACCCTCGAAGACCTCTGCTCCAAGACTGGGCATGTCATATATAAATTCAATTAGATTAATTACCATTTGTGCAGTGCACTAGAGATGAGAAGTGCTCTAGCAGGGCACTTGAACAGTTAACAGGTGAGAAGTGATAAAATGTAGTATAAGTCTAAAACAAATGGTTTCCTTCAATGGAAACAGTTAGGAATTGTTCATATCAGCCACCAACTGCTGGATGTTTTAGCAATGGAACCGAAACCCTGACAGCTGAAGTGTAAGCAATACAGGGAAGAGCCTGCACCTGTATATTCCTTCCACAAGTATAAGGATTTTTTTCCAAGGTCTGCGTGTGCGAGGTTGTCCATGCACAATGGCATCTTTGAGCAGCTTCTCCAGGCTTTGCATATCTGCACAAAAACAGCAGCACAGTTATACATGACCAAGCAGCACTTTGCTATACACTCATTGTAGCTGGAGCTTTGTTATGACTGGACCTAGTAGAACCCAAAATAAGGACACAATTACCCTCCATTTTGAAGAGTAGCCTAGAGATGCTACAGATCAGGGCTGTTCAACTGGCAGCCCACAGGCTCCTGTCTGGCTGTCATCCCTACAATGCTCCTGTTGCTAAGGTGGTAGTGGTCTCTGGGGCAGTGCAGAATGGCAGTAGAGGTTCCAGGGGCCCCTGCAGAACACAGCCCTCAATAGGAAATGAAGAGGGCATCAGTGGTGGCTTGTGCCAGTGGGTGGCTGATGTCCAAGCTGACACTGGTATAGCAGCAGCAGTAGTATGAACTGCCTTCAGTGTGCAAATATCCTGGGAAGATGAGACTTTTTTCCCTCTTAACCATCCTGGGTGCTGAATGAGTTTAATATGACTGCATCAGGAACAGACAGGTAACTTGAAAGTAAAAGGGGAGAGAAACAGGTTGGGAGCTGGAGAGGAAGGGAAGAAGAGTCTTTAATGATGGCAAAGAAATACAAATGAATTCAATGGTAATGGGAGAAAAAGCAAGATTGAGAAAAGAAATAAATGGTCAACTGAGAGACTGGGTTGAAAACTTTATGCCAGAAATCAAGCAGAGTTGAATGGAGACGGAGAGAGAATAGATTTAGTGGAGGAAGTCTGGGTAGTTATAGGCCTGTAGAAATACTGAAGCAAAGACGAGAAGAAAGCATGAGAATCAAAAGTAGGGTTAAGGTAGAGGGTCACAATACAGCAGGGAGCCAGCCAACATGGAAACGGAGAGCTCCAAGCAACAGCGTAAGATGTCAGTAGTCCAGAATGAGTGATGGTGCAAGTGACAGGATAGGACGCGAGGGGAGGGGCTAATGTTGAGCAAGGTCAGACTATGCAGCGTGCTTTCTTTCTACACAGATAACAGATGGAGCTGAGAGAAAAGCTAAAGTAAACAGATATTGTACGAGTCAATCCAAAATAGAAACTGAAGGAGGTGGAAGCACATTGGAGCTGGGGTCATCAGTTTGAAAGTTGAAGTGATAGCGTGTGACATGAATGAAAACAGGAAGTAGTGGGGGAGAGGGGACAGTAGGAAAGAGACAAGCAAATGATCATGAAAAGTAGAGGTGGGAGAGTGATTCTGGAAAGTAACAGTGGGAAAGACTAAAGGAAAAAACAAACACACATCAGCAAACAAGAATGAACCAAAAAAAAAAAAAAAAAAAAAAAAAAAAAAAAAAAAGGTGAGAGGAGTTGTTCAGTGTACTAGTAATGGAAAGATCAGTTTAAAGCAAGGAACCTGGAGACAAGGATTCCAAAGATCTATAGCAGTGAAAGAAGGGAGCTGGGAACAGCAGAAGGGCAAAAGGCTAGAGCCAAGTCTGGCAGAATTAGGCCACAAACCAACAGCAAGGGCAGGCACAGAATGAGGTGGAGAAAGGTTTGACAAAGTGTTTGAAGACGGAAATGAAGAGGGAGTAGTAGGAAGCAGGAGTCAAAATATGGATGTTTGTAGAAGCAAAAGGTAAAAGGACATGGGCAAAGTAAAAGGCAGAAGGACTGCAGGGGGGACTAAAGGAAAAGTGAGGACAGACAATTGTATGAAGAGGCAAGAATGGCAGGAGACAGGTTCAGATACAGAACTGGTGAGGGCTGTGCACTTTGTTTTTGAAAGCCCAGCTTGTTGCACACACAACACATCCCCACCCCCCAGCCTCACATTCCCCCACAGCTCCTATGCACTACTTTTTCATGCCCCCTTTCTAGGGACTCTTTGCAATTCCTTCTACTATCTCCCCCTTTGTCAGGGGCTCTATCAGCACCTCTATACCCACTTCACATATGTCTTCCAACAGGAGTACCGTGCACCCCCATTCCTCTTTACTAGGGTCTTCCATTCCCATCATCAGTGGCTCCAAGGCATATCCTCTTCCATCAACAATTGCTGGTTTTGGAGAAGGGAGTCACAGGGCAGTGGCATAACAAATAGAGTTGGCACCCAGGGCAAATCCTGCAGGAGTTGAGGGGAAAGTGGTTCCAAGAACGGGGACAGGATCAGAACAGGACAGGACAGGTCAGCAAGTCTTACCCATGCTGTGCTGTTGCTGCTCTTAAAGCAGTAGCAACAGCCAACAACTGTTTTGTAGTTACTGGCATGATGGGACTGCTGAGGTGCAGGCACTGTAGGGGTTGGGGGGGGGGGGCGGCAATTCTGGTGCCTGGGGCAGGTGCTCCTTTTACCCATCCCTACTTACACTACTGTCACAGAGTGTCAACAAGGTAAAATTATTG